ATAGTTGTACACATCTATGAAACCACCACCACAATCAAGATGACTAATACTTCCATCACTTCCGAAGAGATGCAAATTTCAAACTCCCAATTTATCCCTTCCCACCCTCTTTACACCCTGGTAACCTTAAGTCTGTTTTCTACGTTTGTAAGTCCCTCTCTGCCTTGTAAATAAGTTCATTTGTGTCTTTTTTTAGATTCCACATATAAGTGATATCATATGGTATTTTTATTTCATTTCCTGTCTTACTTCACTTAGAATGATAATCCTCAGGTCCATCCATGTTGCTGCAAATGGCACTATTTTATTCTTTTTATGGCTGAGTAATATTCCATTGTATGTATATACCACATCTTCTTTATCTAGTCATCTGTCAATGGACATTTAGGTTGTTTCCATGTCTTGGCTATTGTAAATAGTGCTGCTGTGAACATTGCACTTATTTTAAATCAAACACTTTAGCATGTAGTCTCCCAGCCAGTCAATCTTCTCCTTCCCAACAATCCTATACATTAACCCCAGGTAAATTTACCCAAAAGGGAGCTGTGATGCTCTCACCTTACTGCTCTACCATCTTTACTAACTTCTCACAGTAATATTTAGGGAATATGTCCCACCTCATTACTTTTTCCCTTCTTCATAACAGAACTGAACTCAAGCTTCTCCCTGGAGTCCAGGTCTTGTTTTGCTGATACTAATCCTATTATCTCTTCTCCTCCTTTTACTCATATTTCCATAGTTGTAAATTCAGCATGTTGATACCGTCTGAAATGCCAGCTCCCCCATAAGGCCTTGGCTGATCCTCTCTCCACCCTGAGTCATGCTTGGGAGGCCCACAGTCTCATCTTCCTCACTTGCTCTGTTCCTCCTTGTGGCCTGCATCATGTTATATTTTTTCTTTACCTTCTATGTACTTGTCCATCCAATTTAGGGAGTATAAACTAAATACGAGGTTGAGGGTAGGCACTGTTTCTCATGTATTTCTCAAAATTCCTGAAAGATTATTTTAACTAGGGCACATGATTAATTATTTTTAATGTATGTGAATGCTGAAACATTATGCCATACATCAGAAAGTGACACAATGTCATTGACTATAATTTAATAAATTAAAAAAATATAAAAACAAAAAAAAGATGGGATGATTGTCTTTTGGAATAGCAACATGAAAAATCTCCTTTTCAGAAACGTACTTCATCCCTGCCTGGTTTAAGATACACTAAGTACAATGAGTGTAGTAAGAATAAAATTCCATATTTATTCATGAATCTCATTTATGGTGGATATGGTGGATGATTGAATAATTGGCAATTATTACATTTCTCCTTATTTTGACTGATAGTTTTGAATTTAAGTTAGCAATTTCACATAGAAAAGAGGTCACAGCTGTGTTAGTGAAGTGGTATCAAAAATTCACATAGTTGGCCTTTATAAGCATGCAGCCATCGGCTTTCACACTAAAACTACACTGTGAGGAAACTATTTTCATAAATTTTAAATTTGGGTTGTGTAGGAAATTGTGGATAGCAGGTGATCGGTGACAGAAATGACTTACATGACTTGTTTCACTTTGTGCTGTTTGCTTAGGTGACAATTAGCAGACAAAGGAGGAAGTTAAATGAAACTGTTACCAAAATATCTGTTCCCATGGAAGAAAAGAACATGTTTGGTGGACTGGAAAAAACTCAGTTCTTACAAATTCATTCCTTTGCAATAATATTGCCTTCTTTATATAAACATGGTCTTCATACTCTTGTGTCCCCTTCACATGTTTCCCAGTTCATGCCCTGCATATAATTTCCACATGCCTAATGATCTTTCTAAGTGTTTACATACTTTAGATGCATTCATATTAAAACCCCAAATTACAATGTATAGATATTTCTAAATTTCGCAGAAGCCCAGAAGAACACTAGAATCCTCTCAAACTCTGTAAGTGTTTGCTTTATAGAAGCACAAAAAGTCACTGTGTTATGCTGTTCATGTATTATACAGTAAGTGGTTGATATAAGATGCCAAACTCATAGCACATTGGGGCATGTAAGAGTTAACTTTTCCAGCGGTCTTTTAGCTAAAACACTCTTTGGAAAGAATTATAACAAAGAGTTAGAACAAACGCATAACCCTTACTTAAATGCCACTATTATTTAAATATACCTGTAAGTGAAGCTTCTGTTCCATTTAACACTTCAGCAAGAGGCTAATGAACGGAAGACTGCTTTGTGCTTTTCTTCTTAACCTGGATGCTGTGTTTAATAGAATGACCTCTTTGAAGTTACAAGAGCAACCCTCTTTAAGTTGAGGTCAGAACATATCTGCTTAGCTGTCTTAATCTAAACTGAAAAACAATAACTTAAATAATTGGGTGCAGAACAGCAGTGCCACAATGATTACAGAAGTGTTTTGACACATGCTGTGTTAATTGGGCTCTGGTTTTGTCTGGAAACTGAAGTCCGGGGGCTAAACATTACATATAAGTCCTGAGGACTGACTACCAAAGTGACACAGTTGCTAAAGACAGTCGCCTGCTAGGCCTGGTTCCAATGGGAAAAATTTCCTCTGGCAGCTTTTGAAGTTTGTTTTTATAGGAAATTGCTTCCTGGAGCAGATAAAGCTAATTCATGGCTGTTGCCCGAGCTCCTGCACACCCAGCTGGGGCTCCCCTGTGGACGCAGCCGCCTTGTTGACAGAATCGGACTGGAATCTTGGCAAAACTCCAGCTGTTTGTGTGGAGCCAGTCAGATTAGGTTGAAAGCCTCTAAATCTTCCCAAGTGTCCCCAGGAAGGGAATATAAACTGGTTATGGTGATGTGGCAAGAGCCAGGGAACAGAGCAAAGTTGTGACATTTGTATTTGGACCTGTCACTGTGATTCAATGACACAGAATTTGATAGGGAATTCAGCCGAGGTCACGATACGGAAGTGATGGATTATCTGCAGATCTTTTCTTCCCACCGAATCTATGTAATGTGCTGGGGTAACTTTTCTTTGGGTGTCGGTTATGGTCCTACAAAACCTGCTCCCCTCCTAACCAGCAGGCCATCACAACATGTATTTCTATGCATCAGAATGCATATAAACATTTGCATAATGAATTTTAAATAAATGGGCTTTCTTTCTTTTGTACAGGAAACAGTCAAAGACAATCATATAATACAAATTTGAAAGGGAAGCTTGCTCTTAATTTGATTATCCCTCTCCTCCCAATTCATTTAATACATACTTACTAAAGAAGACTTTTAAGGACAAAAAAATTATTTACTCAAATTATAAAAAGCAAGGAAAAAAAAAAGCTTGACTATGACCCCAGACATCTCATTTGAGATAAAAGTTGAAAATCAAAAACAATAGCAACTTGAAATATAAAAGAACCAGCATTTATTTTTCCAGGTGTGAGAAACACTAAGGTTTGAGCATAAAAGTAATGTTAACCTAGTGGAAACATCAGAGACAAAGAAAACAGCAGCTGTGTGCAGAATAGATGGGAACAGAAGTGAGAGAACATTTAGTCACATGGGGAAACAGAGTTGAAGGAAACTGTGTATCTGTCTGAATTTGACGTTCTTCATGGCAGTAAACACTGGAGTTCAAATGAACAGCCATGTCTTCATACCCTTGGCCCCTCTTTCTTGGCTCTACATTTCTTAGGAATAAAAGAGGATGAAATCTGTTTAAATATTACCCCCCCATAGTGTAGTTAAATTTGAGGACTAGAGTATCAATAAGTTTTATGTTATTTAAATTTTACGTTATTTTTTTCTCTTTTATCACATTCCTTTCATGCTTAAATATCATCATTTACTTTACACTAAAAAAAAATTTAGGGGGAGGAAGTAATCAGATTTATTTATTTATGTATCTTTTAATGGAGGTCCTAGGTATTGAACCCAGGACCTGCTGCATGCTAAGCACGTTCTTTACCTCTGAGATACACCCTCCTTGCTTCATATAAAGTTTTTTTAATGTTTTATGCTATTCCTTTTGTTTGGAAGGTTATCCTGGTGCCTAGGCCTATCCTATCAAACTTCTTAATCTTCTTAGTAGTTCCATTCAGTTTCCTTTCTTTCTCATGTCTTCACCTAAACCCTATGCTTATAGGCAGAGAGTTAATGCCATCCTCTGTGCATCTACACCAGCACTTATTTCACTAAATGGTAATTTTTGCTTGTAGATCTGTCTTACCTAAGAAAAGCTGAGCTATATGGGATTGGGAACATCATTTCCCTCCCATTTTTTTCTTCATTAGTGTCTAAAACAGTTTCTGGCCCTCAGTGGATTTTGAGTAAGTGTTTCTGAGTGAATTCATCTGTGTCTTACCTTATTTCTGGCTTTCCATTTGCTGTGACTTGTAGGTAAAAGCAGGATTCTTGGTCAGATTGTCCTGGCTTGAATTCTCGATCCTTATGGACTAGCTGTGTAACCTTGGACAAGTCACTTTCTTAGGTTTCAACGCTTCACCTATGAAATATTCTGCTACATACAGCTGGCCTAAGGGGTAAATATGTTACTGTGTAAAAATCACTTACAGAAGCATTTGGTGCCTAACATAAACCCAAGCCAGTGCTACCAATTAGCATCCTCACCCTCACCATCACCATCACTGACATATGGGACCATCTGTGTGGAAACCACATGAGGGACTCCTTGGCATTTGTACTCATGGGTGGAATCGCCATTTCAGGGGTCCCCAAAATTATGAAGGTCAGCTGCCTCAGCTAATGCTTTCTGAGATGCTCTTAACACTTTTTTTTTCTGCCTTAATTTGAAAATCTCTCAAAAACAAATGCTCTTTTGAATTTCCTTTTGTTTTCTATTTAACAAGTATTAACCCAGCACTTTCAGCAGGCCAGGTCCTTTTCTAAATGCTTTAATATAAACTCTCTTAATTCTCATGAACTAACGTACTGTTAACGGCTCCGTTTTACAGAAGAGGAAAGTGAGGGACAGAGAAGTTAACAGATCTGCAGAAAATGAGGGAAAATGAGGCAAAAACAAGTGGTTCAAGTGATCACGCTCAGAACCACTGCATTTCCCTGCCCCGAACCAGCTGGGCTCCCTTTAGACACCTTTCTATTTTTTCGTTTTTAAAGTATAATCAGTTACAATGTGTCAATTTCTGGTGTGCAGCATAATGTTTCAGTCATACATATACATACATATATTTGTTTTCATATTCTTTTTCATGATAAGTTACTACAAGATATTACACCCTTCTATTTCTAATTCTGTTCTGCCACCTTTCCTTTGTTTCTCTTCCTGATTCCTGTCCTGTTCTGTTCTCCAAATCAGGTAGACGGGTAGGGAAGAAAGAGAACAAGACCAGGGAGTAGACAGAAACCTTCCTCTTTTCTGTGCCTTGCTGCAAATTTTGCCCTGCTCTACTGCCTACTAAAAATATATACAAAATATTGCATGTTTCAATTCTTTAATGCTTAAATGACTTTCTCTATAAAGAGCAATCTTCCAAGCCATCTTTGTGTAGCTATAAAGTTTGGTAATATTTTCATCAAATAAGCTTCAAGGAGATAAAAGCAATCCCCAGGCAATAGACATAGTTACACCACAAGACTGCCAAATACACACCCATGGGAGGTAACACCAAGAGCTTCTTCCTCTCCCATTTCAATCAAAGAGTGCCAGAAAATGCAATAGCAATAGGGAGATGAAACTGAATACCAAGAAAAAAATTAAGCATCAAAAATTAAAATTAAAACATAAAAAATTAAAACTAAAATTAATCCACCATGCCAAATTTTCCAGTTTTGTTCTCATTGCCATTACTTCCAGGTTTCTAAATATATATTCATGTTACAGACATATTTTTCATTCCATGTTATCTTTTTTTAATATTTCACTCTTCTGCAGAGCTTCACTCACTAGTCTCACCAGAAAGCCATTTCCATTTTCCCCTTTAAAGGCATTCTCTAGGTTTACTTCAGCCATTTGAATTGCATGGGTTAGTAGAATCAACTTAGCAGTGCCATTCACTTTAAATTTTATATTGACACAAGTATTTAATTTAATCTTCAGAAAGATTCACATTTAAAAATGCTCATTGTTGATGTGCTAACAGTTAGGAAAAAAAGTACATTCTAAACTTATCTTAAGTAAATTCTTTGTATATATTCAAATACAGTTGAAGAATAATGTAAAATGCATCCAGGCTTTCAATAGTTAGAATTTGCTCCGATATTAATAGCTAGAATGCATTTGATATATTTTACAACCTTTTGTTCTACTTCATTAAAATTGAACAAATATTAACACAATTTTTCAGGCTAGCATGAAAAAACTATAGTACATAAAAACCCATGTGAATGTTTGCATTTTAATATTACAATTGAAATAAAGTGTATGAGTTTATAGCCATGTCTTATTGCAAATATAGCTAAATATAAGTGACATGTTGCTATTCCTTTTTCACTTAAAAGGAAATCATGATGTACTAGAATTATTTAGAGCAACTCATTTCTCTGTTGTTTGTAATGTATGATGAACTAATCTCTAGTAACAGACTTTTATTCAAAAGGGAAACATGACCACTTCAAAAATAATATCACATATTTGAATAATTCAGAACCGTAAAAAGACACTGCAAATAAATTTTTATCTGGTGCAAGGAAACTAACCTCTTCTAATGCTTATCCAATCTGTGATTTTTGTAAAGTGCAAAATATAATCATGAGATTTTAATCATTTTCCTATTTAATGCATTCTAAATAAACATCTATTTCAAAGGAACAATGGTATTATCAATATAAAAATAATAGTATATTATTATTTCTCAGTTTGTTTATATTCAAAAATGACCTCTTTTTGAAGATTCTGAAACGTATTTTAAACATATTAAGATACTATATAATTGGTCAATATGCAAAGATCACTTTTTAATGTTCATGTCTAATCTGACTTCTGTCCAGATTTCTGCTTCTAAATAATTATTTTACACTACACCTAGATATATCACTAGAATGTCCAAAATATTATGTGCTCAATTCTTTACCACAAAAATCTGTTTTTACTCTGGTATCCCTCCTGCCTCTTCTTACCAGTGTTAAAACAATTTCCAGTTAGTCAGGTGACAAATACCTGGTCTGCTTTCCACATTTTCTTCCCTTCACACTTCACAGAGTGTTGTGTCAGTGTCATCTAAGGAATCTCTTGCTATGTGGTGGGTATTCCCCAGGTCCTCTCTTCAATTCTGGTATATTATCCAGATGGATATTTGATAGCCCTTTAACTCATCTCTCTGGCTCTCCCTCTCTATCCTCAAGCCTTCTGATTATAATATCATCAATCATTTTCCAAATATACCTCTCTAATACTATCATCACCCAGTCATGCCTCAGTTAGCTAATTAGCCATTCAGGTCTCTGCTGAGGCTCAGGGCTCTGACTGGGAAGACTCTTGACTGGTACCATTGCACATCCTTAAATATCTGTCCATTATGTTTCCCTTCCATCCAGGTCCTCACGTTCTCAGAGATGGGCTGAGGTTCTGTTAAAAATTGAAAAGAATACTTGGAATATGAAGTATCCATTATATTTCCTGATTCACTGCTACCCAATAATTTTACCTTTCTATTTTTCCTCCTGGGTTTGACTTCATTAGCTACTTACAAAGTCTTGGGCAATAGACATTGCAACTGAACATCTCACTTCACCTGTAGAGAACATTGCCGTCCTAAGATGCTGTCAATTCCTCTAAACTCTGTCCTGTTCAGTCCAGGCATTGTCTGTCTGTAGACCAGTCAATCTACTCAGGATCCAACATATTCACACAAGTGCCTGTCAAACAATCTATAAAGCATCCAACACCATCTTTTGAAGATACAATATACCCCATAATATGGAATCAATTACTCAAGGCCCTTTGTTTTATGTTGGAAAGACAATATTTTTTGGAAGCAAAAGCTCTGACTCAAATTACAGATGTAATTACAATTAGAATTAATTGATTTAGAGGACTATTTATCATTTGCAAGTAGAATTTTTTTTAATTTAAGAAACACAGTGAACTTATTCAAACATTTCTTGGTTTATTTGTGGGCATAGACATATTCACATGAGGTTAATTATTTTATTTAAAACTGATGACCAATCTGACAAAAGAGTACAGCGAGCCTTATTATATTGGTTAACTACTCTACAGAGTGAAGCCCTGACTATAGATATAGACTCAGGTAAGAAGGCTAATGAAGAATCACCATAGAGTCAGTAAATATGATGCTTTTATGCTGGTTTGTGCATCAGCAAAGCACTTGCAGGGAGAAGAAAACCACAAAATGTTACGAGA